ACCCGCTCCAAACCAAATTTAAAAAACTTCAAAATCCTTAAGGAATCAACTTTCACTATTAGGCGCCCAAACGCTTTCGGGTCATCCAAAACCCGATCCGAACATACGCCCAAGTCCAAAATTATCATACGAACTTGTTGGAACCTTAAATTCCTGATTCCAAGGTCGTTTACTCAAAACGTTGACCGTAGTCAAACTTGGCCTTTTAAGCTAACCTTAAGGAACCAAGTGTTCTGATTTCAACCCAAACTCTTTCAAATCCCAAACCAACCATCCCCGCAAGTCATAAATCAGCAAAAGTAAGTACAGAAAGTCCTATTTAGAGGAACGGAATTCTAGAAAGAAAAACGACTAGTCGGGTCGTTACATGATTGCTGGTAGCAAGTTAAAGGCCTAATAAGAGGAATAGGCTAAGAGGCCCAAAGCAGTGTTCTGCGCAAGTAATATAGAAAGAGCAAGAAATACCATTACTCTTTTGAGAAAAATTCATTTGTAGACCCTCGCTGCAGACTTCTATCATCTGATAGATATAAGATTTTAGATATATTTAGTAGCCTAAAAGATATTAGAATATCCAGCCCAAATTCCGCCAACCCTATCACATCTATCTTTCATTTTCCACCATTTTGTCAGACATCCACATACAAAAGCTCCACCATTGCCCTGCAGCTATTGCACTGCCGCCGCCGTACCACCACTGCATCGCTACCACCTCCATGCACTGCTGCCATAACACTGCCCTATCCGATACCCCTAAAAATAGATTAAGAAAATAAAACTCACCCACCCCCGGATCAATCTCATCCATCCCAAAATTCCACCACCAATCCTTCTACCACTACACAACCGCCATCGTATTCTACTCTCACCCCCAAAAAGATAAATCATCAAAAAACGGACTTATCTACCACGGGACTGGCCTCATCCAGCCCAATTCTACCACCAACCCTAAATAATAAGGACTAAAAGAGAGAAAATAAAAAGATAGGCGGGAAGAAGAAAATATTAAAGGCAGTATAAACAGACAAACTGAACTTAGAGAAATAAGATCTAAAAGAGAAAATGAAGGAAAGATAAAGAGTATTTGTGAGAGAAAAATTATATACTTTATATACGGAAGATATATTAATTATTCACTTTATATACAATTATAAATTCTATGTACACTGCATATATACATTATATATTATTATACACTTTATATACAAAATATATACAAAATTAGATGAACATCGAATTTGTATAAAAAATGTATGCATCAATGTAAATACACCTTTCATAGAAATGTACATACATAATATATACACATGATACACAATATTTTTAACGCTCACTATAGCCAATAATCTTTCACGTCCAGTTTTGTATAATACATATATAATAAATGTATCGTTATTGTATAATATATACACACTGATTATACACCATATAATAAATACACTGATTATATGGTGTATAAATAAAGGAGCATTGGGGTAATGGAGGATAGCGAACTTGGCCGATAAAATCTTTTCTCTGGCAGTGGCTATAATACATATATACTAAATCTTTTCTTGCACCGCTAGAGTTTTGCCTAAAATTACTCAAAAAAGGTAGATATTTTTGTATTTAAGTAAAGGAGGAGGAGATCACAAAGAAAAAGAGAAAATTAAAAAGAAGATGTGTTGGTGTCGCTAAAGGAGAAGAAAAGAAATATGTGTTGTAGTCTTTTTCTCTTACAAGGTTTTATTCAATTGAGCTTTCCTTGCAAGGTTTTTAACGAGGTAGCCAAAAGGCTTATTGTTAGATATGTGTACTCTTTTTTCTTCACTAGAATTTTTTCCCACTGAATTTTATTTTAGTTAAGGTTTTAATTAGACACATTATTTATTGAATAGACATTCAAGAGAGAATGTTATAAATAGAATTATATTTAAGGTGAATGCCTATATTTTAGAGAGATTTTAGGGTTTGTTACTTGGTGGCTAAATAATTTTTCCTCTATAAATAGAGGGGGTTCTATTCCATTGTAATTCATCCCAAATCAATAATAATTCTCTCCCTACTTTTCTCTGCAACACTCTTCTTCTTCTTCTTTTATTGTTTTATAACACATCATAATATGTTGGAATTCAAATTTTTTATATATGAGATTCCAGCATAATATGCTGGAATTTGGTAATGTGCTGGATCTCCGCATAAAATAGTGGATAATTTTTAATGACTTTGCAAATATTGATTATTTATCGAATACCAATTCGAAAACTAGTTAGCCCATACAATTTTCACATTTCTCCCTTTCTGCCCAGAGCCCAACGAATCTCGGGAAAACAGGGCGAGACGAATGGGAACTGATTGCTGGTGGCAAGTTAAAGGTAAAAATAGCACGGTATAACCAGTTTTCAGACTGGTCATTCAAAAATAGCCAACGTTTACCAAGTCAATGAAAAATAGCCACTATTTTGCTGCAATAGAGACCGATCCAGCATAATATACTGGAGTTCGGTGCATCTGTATATGAACTCCAGCATATTATGCTGGACCGGTATACTTTGCTGGCTCAAGTATAATACACTGGGGATTGGAGCACCGATGCTCCAAATTCTAGTATATTATGCTTGACCGGTATACTTGCTGGAACTCCAGTATATTATGATGGAGTTATCCTGGAACTCCAGTATAATATGCTGGAGTTCAAGTATACTTATACTGGAACTCCAACATAATATACTGGCGTATTTTTCGGGTTTTGAACAGTGTTTTCACTCAGATTTATCTTTACATAAAAAGTGGCTAAATTTCGATTACTTTTGAAATTGAGCTATTTTTGACGACCAGTTGTAATTCTGGCTATTTTTGAATTTCTCCCAAGTTAAAGGCCTGTTAAGAGGAATGGGCTAAGAGTCCCAAAGCAGTGTACTGCGCAAGTAGTATAGAAGAGCAAGAAATACCATTACTCTTTTCGTCAATAGTTCAATTTAGCCTCAATGGTACTGCTTCTCTTTTCTCTTTTAAACTAAAATTTCCATCACACATAGTTGATAGGAAAACATAGAAGATTAATTGGACAACAGTTGTCAAAATGGCATTGAGAGTTGAACTACTGACTCAATTATTAGAATTGTAACCTCTTATCCATTGGTTTCCATAAAAACTCAAAATTAGATATTCTCATTATGTCACTGGCAGTCCAAACTCTTTGTTCTTCTTTTTAAACGAATGGAGTAACTATTATTCACAAAATAGGACTATAACCGTAATAAGAAAAGTACTTTTTGTGTGTGGAGGGGGGAGGGGAGGGGGAGGGGGAGGTCTCAAAAGGGACATAGAAATAACAACAATTAGGGGCGTTCATGATTCGGTTTGGATCGATTTTTCTCTAAAAAGAAACCAAACCAATTAAGTCGGTTTTTCAATATTAGAACCAAACCAAACCAATTAAGTCGGTTTTTTCTCGATTCGGTTTATGTCGGTTTTTCCGGTTATTTATCGGTTTTTTCTTAAATATAAGACATACACTACCAAACACACATTTCGGCGACCACATTTTCAACGTAACACTATTAAATCAATTGCCCTTTGAGAAATCTATTATTTACCAAGATATATTGATGATAATTGAATCAAATAGTGATGAATAATTTAAGGACTCAATTAAAAATATATTATTTTTAACATGAAATAGATTCTTACACTTAACAAAAGAAAACTACCAATTAAACTAGAATGTAAAGGTAAAAACCTGTACTAAAAGTGCAAACGATTAATATTTACTACTATAAATTTTTTAAAACTTTGTATAAAAGTATACATATATATATATATATATATATAGGTGTAATAATAAATTTAAAATAGGTACTCCTATATTCGGTTTGGTTCGATTTTTTTAATTAAAACCAAAACAAAACCAAATTTGATCGGTTTTTAAATTTCAAAACCAAAACCAAATCAAACAAAAAAGTATCAATTTTTTTGGTCGATTTGGTTCGGATTTTCGGATTTTCATGAACACACCTAATACCAATTCAGAATCCGTGCTACAAAACTTAGGGGGGAGGGGGAGGTCGCAAAATAACATAAACATAGAAAGAAAAGTATTGTCGTGGTACCTTTTCTTTTCGTTGAACAAAATTTGATATGAATTATGTTTCGTCAAATTTTCAAACTCCGAAAAGTATTTCTTGAAAGTGCTTGATGTTACAAATATTACAATTTGTGTTTGGCTAATCAATTAAAAATTCTTTTTTAAGTATCATAAAACATTTTTTGTTTAACTTTTTTTTTAAAAAATGGCGTCAAATTATGAAAGATATATACATTTTTTTCTTTCATATATAAAATTAATATTAAGTAAAAAATATTTTTTTAATTATTTATCATTAAAATTTTTATTAAGTTTTTCAATTATTTAATTAAAAATAAAATGCTTCACTTTTTGTTTGGGATTCTATGATATTTGTGAAAGAAAGACTCGAAAAATTAATGGAAATAAAAATAAACTTGGTGAAGAAGAAAATGAAAGGAAGAACATTCTAAATGGTTGATTTCCCTTTTGAAATCAATAATGAGTTATTTTGTAAATAAAATTTATTAACAAAAATATTGAAAAATTAATTTATGCTTTTACTATGTCGCTTAAACAATTTTCATTTTTAACTAACATCTCCAATTTTTATTACGTACTACTCCCTCCGTTCCAATGTATGTGAACTTATTTCTTTTTCGGTCCGTTTCAAAAAGAATGACCCATTTCTAAATTTGAAAATAATTTAGCTTAAATTTACAATTCTATCCTTAATAAGAAGCTTTCATAACCACACAAATACTTTAAATCCTTTTTAACTTGTTTAAGATCACAAATTTCATAAATTTTATTTTTTCTTAAACTCGTGTTCATTAAACAAGTTCACGGGAATATAGGGAGTAGTACTTTTGACTTGTCATAAGTTTAGGCAAAAGCTATGAGCTAGAGCAATTTAAAGGCCAAGCACTCAGCCTGACAGCGAGAGACAGGCAAAACTAGTACTTCATACAAATCACGTTTCCCAATATTGCATTTTCCACTGGACAAGTCAACAAGGAATTTAATTAATTGATGCGCACTTTAATCACTTGACACAACACACTGTCGTGCTGTGCTGCCCCACGAAAAGGCTTTGTTATTTTCTCCCATCTGTCTTTTTCTCAATTTTCCTTGTTTTCTTCTCCGAACCATCCCCATCGGAATCTGCTTAAACCCTTTTGACCATACGTCGTCGTTTCGGAACATGGACGACTACCTGAATTTATTCATAGAGGAGACATCGTTTTACAATCGGGTGGTTTTAGGTACATTCTTACCGGAATCATGGTGGGGTCCACTTCCTCATTGGTTTCAGGGTTGGCTCAGGAATTACATTGGTGGGGTGTTACTTTACTTTATATCTGGTTTTCTTTGGTGCTTCTACATCTATCGCCTGAAGCGCAATGTCTATATCCCTAAAGGTCAGATTTTTTTTTTTTTTTTTTTTTTTTTTTTTTTTTTTTTTTGTTTTGGTCTTTGATGAAATTGCTTTTGACCCTTTCATGGATTAAGGTAGTTGAAATAAATTAGAATCTGATATTTGAGGTCAAATGCTGCTCATGAGCATATTCACTTATCCTCTAATTTGGAAGAGAAAAGGTTTTTTTTTAGCTAGTCAGATCTGAGCCTACCAGCTTGCCATAATTAGAGGACAGAGGGAATTTGTCTAATATCAATTTTCTTTCATTCTTCAGCGACTAATGCTGATTAATTAGATCCAAATTTATGTTATGGAACCTTAACAAACTACCAAAAAAAATGTTATGACACATTAACTTTGACCAGATGGACCTGGCAGGAAAAAAAATTCTTATTGGTTGAGAATATGACAACACATTGTTCTCTTTTGAAGGCAAGAGAACTGCTCTATGGTGTTGGTGCTAAAAAGAATGGACAGCTGCGGCTCAAGCATATGTGAGGCCTAAAGTCAAAAAAGTTTAATATGAGGCCTAAAATTTTAAAAGAAAGTTACTTATAAGATATGGTTCTATTTGAAGTCTATTCTTCTAACTTTTTGAGATACAACGTTGTTAGTAATCTTTTTTATAATTGGTTTTCTCTAATCATTCCTATTCAATTGATAATATAGTCAACTCATTTAATCTTTCTTGAGATTTGTTGATCTTGAGATTTTATAGAGCAATAGAATTATAGAACTATTGGATGCTTAAAGGTATTGTTGAACAATTGAACTAATGAAATTTTGGAGAAAGAAAGTGAGTAGTGAAATCTTTGGAGAAAGAATGTGAGTAATGAAATCTTGAAGAAAGAAGATGAGTAAGAATATTAAAGAAGAAAGACTGAAAATATGTAGGAGTTTCTGAAATATGAAGAGATTGGGGAAAAAAAGATTGACTTGAACATATTAAGAAAAGGGAGAGTAAAAATTTTATACGTTAACTAATGAAGGAGTAAAACTGAAAAGTTGGGAAACTATTCATCTCCCCATTTTTAAGTATGTCAAAATATTACTTTATTTATCTATCTAAAGAGTTTTCTTTCCTTTTATATTAAAAACTCTACTTTTTTATTAAAACTACTAAATATTATTTTTTTAAATACTTGGAAACTTATTACTCCCTCTGTTCCAATTTATGTGAACCTATTTCCTTTTTGGTCCGTTCCAAAAAGAATGACCCATTTTTAAATTTGGTAACAATTTAGCTTAAACTTACAATTCTATCCTTAATGAGAAGCTTTATAACCACATAAATACTTTGGGTCCTTTTTTGACTTGTTTAGGACCACAAATTCACAAAGTCTTCAGTTTTTTCTTAAACTCCGTGCACAGTCAAATAAGTTTACATATATTGGAATGGAGGAAGTATTTTTAAAACATGAGGCCCCCAACACTAGCCTTACTAGTCATCACGTTAGAGCCGGCCCTGCTTAACAATGTGCTAGAACAGGCTAGATAAACTTAATTATCTTCTATGGATGAAAAAGCCTTGAACTAGCAATTCATATTAATTAATGACCTCTTTGAGTACTAAGCCATCAATTTCTATAGCTACTTTTTTTTTATTGTGTGCTTTGGTAAAAGTAAATTTGCATCTTGCTTCATATATTCTCATCTGATGTTGGTTTGGAAGAAAACATGATATTTTCAGCTTAATGAATGTTGTCATTGCAGATGCCATCCCTTCAAATAGAGCTATGCTCTTGCAAATAGGAGTTGCCATGAAAGCTATGCCATTTTATTGTGCTCTTCCGTCACTTTCTGAGTATATGATTGTAAATGGGTGGACAAAATGTTTCTCAAGAATTAGCGACGTTGGATGGCTTTCCTACCTTATCTATATGGCAGTTTATTTGGTAATAGTAGAATTCGGCATCTACTGGATGCATCGCGAGTTGCATGACATAAAACCTCTGTACAAATATCTCCATGCTACACATCATATTTACAACAAGCAAAATACACTCTCCCCATTTGCTGGTGAGTTCCATCTCATGACTTTGGTCTATTTTGAAAACAACTTGTAGCTTCCCTACTAGGTAGGCTTCTTGCTCCTGCTTTGTCAATAACCTGTTGATCTAATTGTGCTTCGATTTTTTCCTATATGATTGGAGATAAAAGAGAGTCTTGCGAATGAACTCACACTGGTCATTGGTGGTACACCAGTCCCTTATTTAGTTAGCAGGAATCAGAGGGGATGAAGTGGTTACACATTGTTAAACTGAGTAACGGCCCACTATTGGCCCCTCTTTATCAATGCAAAGCTGTATTAGAGAACATGGGAAGAGAACAGTCTACTGGAATTTCTTTATCCAACTTTTTCTGCCTTAAAATCCAGTTTACTCGAAAAGCTTGACTTGCTTTCATACGTCTAATCACCGCCTCAATGAGTTATAAAATAAATTAAACTGCATGGAAATTGAATATTTCTACATCACGAGACTGCTACTCCTTTACAAGAATGCTAGGATCATTTGACACACACGGTCTTACCTCTTTCCATAGCTTACACGTTCCAGGAAATTGGTTGTCAAATCTTCTCCACATTGCAACAAATTAATGGAGTCCAATTAAGCAATGATATGGTTTCTATGTACTTTAATTGTCTAATATTTCCTCTCAGGCTTGTTTTGATCTTCGAATGTCCTAGTTTCTCTTATAGTGTATCTGGCCATAATTCGAGAGTTCTGTTCCAACACCAATCACTAACGTGACTTGTTGCTTTGGAAATTAGGTTTGGCGTTCCACCCATTGGATGGAATACTGCAGGCAGTGCCACATGTAGTAGCTCTTTTCCTGTTGCCTGTACATTTTACGACACACATAGCTCTCTTATTCATCGAAGCCATATGGACTGCAAATATCCATGACTGCATACATGCGAAGGTGTGGCCAGTTATGGGTGCTGGCTACCATACCATCCACCATACTACGTACCGGCATAATTATGGTCATTACACAATATGGATGGACTGGATGTTCGGAACACTTCGTGATCCTGTAGAAGATGAGGTCAAGAAAATGTAACATTCTTCTCTGCAACCAACGGTCTCGTTGTTTGTTTTCCTAGTTATTAGGCTGCCCTGTGGCTGGTGCTTCATTAAGAGTTCTGTCTTGTGTGCATTTCGTGGATGTAAATTTTATTATTGGTAGTTTTTCAAGTTGTAGACTGAAAACAATTATGCTAGAAAAAAAAAAATGTGTTATGGTCCCTAAGATGTCTTTTTTTCTTACTGTTCTCTTATTATTACAATAAAAATGAGGGGGGGCAGGAAATTTTGGACTCAAATCCTTTTGTATCTCATGAATTATGATAGTTTAATATGCAAAAATTTCGATAACTTATTGTCAATTAGCTTATTATAACATTTTAGCAGCTATCAACATAGGCGGGTCTATGATTTAAATCTTATGGGTTCAACTTTCAAGGTTAGTTGTAATTTTAATGAATTTTTACATATAAATTTTTATTCTGCGCGCATCAAAAGTTAGTGGGTTCAACACTACATTCGCCCCTTGCTTTCAATATCTATGTTAATATCCAAAGGTTGTCATAAATTATTGTCATAACAATACATAAACGACCCCTTTAAGTTGTTCTCAACTATTAGGTAGACACATCAAAAATGCTAATGACCAAATAAACATTTCTGCTTGGGTAGAAGTGTCTTAAACCCATCCGAAAGTGTAATTCATGCATGAGGTTTGTTAGTCTTGAGTGTTTAGTTGACCAATTTTATTAATAGCTTAAAGTAGCTTTAAAGTAGCTTAAAGTTGAGGTGCCTACCTGGAATTTGAGGCCAACTAGTTGACCAATTTTATTAAAGGCTTAAAACATCTAACCAGAAATGGACTCAGTTGAGGTGCAGGTGCCTACCTAATAGTTGAGGACAATTTAAAAGGATCGTTTATGTATTTTATCATTAGCTTATTAGAACATTTGTGGATTAGTCAGTGGCGAATTCTATATTTCTACCAAGTGGATTATTCAGCATGCGAAGAAGTGAATGTATAAAGAAGTGGCGGAATTTATATTTTTACCCGAATTCAACATACGAAGAAGTAAAAACAAAGTACCGTAGTGTAAACGGTTAAAACCGGGCCTACCTGATTTTACTATTTGATCGAGACTAGGGAATTGCATCGAGGGTCGGCCTCGTAGTGGATCAGACCAGAGCACGAGGACAAGGTGCCGAGTTTGAGAATTGAGGTGTCTGTCAAGATCGAGGCCAGTAGGGATCGAGACCAAATAGGGCAAACTTCGAGCAAAACGCAATAACAGAAAAGCGAGATATCCGCGACCGGTCGAAGACCATGGCGAAAATTTCGGAACAGATCAAATCAAGGCTGGTTATTTAGGCGAATTATGGGATTTACTTCCGTAATTAGAATTGTACCATAGATAGGATTCCTCTACTATATAAAATGGGTTCTAATCATTTTGTAGACATCTTACATTCACGCATATCAAAGCAATACAACACTTCCTTTCTAGCTTATACTCTCTTTCATCAGCTTGTTTATTTCTTAACTATTTGGTACTGACCAGCTCGAGGGCATCCTAGTTTGAGAACTGAATTACATGAAAATACTGGTTTGCTTTATCTTATTATCAATTTCTATTACTAATCCTTACATTTATCAATTGGTATTAGGTGAAATCACGTGTCGTTAAAATCACATTATAAGTTTAATTGTTATCCAATTTTAAGGGTAAACAGTTTGGCACCCACTGTGGAGCTAAGGATAATAGTGATTGCCTGGTATTAATTCCTATAACACACACTGCTTTACACTTGTTCTCATAAGTGTCTTTGATTTCAGGAATCAATATGTCAAAATCTAAAGTAACGCCCACTCATATGGACAACGGCCTTGGTCTTCATGGCGAAAACGAAAACACAGTCGCCCCGGAAAACGGAGTACCTCCAGTCAACCCTGATGGACTACCGGTCGTAGACCCAGTCGATGTCAGCTGTCATATTGCCATTAATGGGAATTTGGGCGTCGACCATGAAAATAGAGTCCGCAGAGATGCCCGAGCAGCAGATCAGAACGCACAGAGCGGTAAAGAAGGCAGAATTAGCCTTCGAATGATATTCAAAATGTTGCAGACTCAACAAGCTGCGATAGCGCAACTCCAAAATCAGAATCGAGTACCAAACAAAATTGAGTTCGAAATATCACAAGAAGTTGTTCATAGAATCAAATCTGTATCGGAGAAATCGAATGCTAATGAGTCGGGGACTGATCCAGCCATTACGAAGATGCTCGAGGAGCTCACTAAAAGGAACGAATCAGGTGAAAAGAAAATCTAGGCTAATGATAAAAAGGTAGAAACGTACAACTCACAGGTTGACCAAATACCGGGGACACGCCCGATTCTAAAGGGTTTGGATTCGAAGAAGTTCGTGCAGAAGCCTTTCCTTCCAAGTGCGGATCCGAAGCCCATCCCGAAGAAATTCTGCATGCCAGAAATTCCAAATACAATGGAACCACCGACCCTAATGAACATGTCACTTCTTATACGTGCGCAATAAAAGGGAATGACTTAGAAGATGATGAGATTGAATCTGTTCAACTAAAAAAGTTTGGAGAAACTTTATCGAAGGATGCCATGATATGGTATCATAACTTACCACCTAGATCTGTTAATTCGTTTGCTATGCTCGTAGATTCTTTTGTGAAAGCCAACGCCAGAGGCATTAAAGTTGCAACAAGGAAATTAGACCTCTTCAAGGTGAGGCAAAAGGACAACGAAATGTTGAGAGAATTCATATCTCGGTCCCAGATAAAACGCAGGCTATTCAAGCTTTCACTCAAGGTTTGAATGAATGAAGTTCGATAGAATCACGACAATTAAAGCAGAATTTAATTGAATATCCAGCCGTGACTTGGGCCGATGTGCATAATCGATACCAGTCAAAGATCAGGGTCGAGGATGATCAATTGAGAGCCCCTTTCCGGTTCCGTTTACCCAAATAGGCACGTCGGCAGAATTCAAAGAGATATCGACAGAGAACTCTGATCGAACAGATATCGGTATCAACCATAAAACACAGATCGTAGAAATAACAGCCCAGGTCGTAACCCTGTTCGAAATGATCGAAGGAATGATTGAGGACAGAGCTCCCGAAGTCTCATGAGTAAAAGTGGCTTCGATAAACATGTCGAACCCACAAAATCACTGCGATTATCGGAATACAACTTCAGTGGCGATGCATCGTGTATTGAATTGGCCATTGGACGGATCAACAATACTAGGTGGCCCAGGCCCCTGCAGACCGATCCAGCTCAAAGGAACCCTAATCAAATATGCAAATACCATGGTACCCATGGTCACAAAACCGAAGACTGCAGACAAATGAGGGAGGAGGTAACTCGTCTATTCAACGGGGGTCACCTTCGAATTCCTGAGTGACCGAGCTAAAACTCACTTCAGAGACAAGGATGCAAACAGGAAAACTAATAGGAAGAACCACAACACGTAATTCATATGATCGTTGGTGGGGTCGATATTCCTCAAGGACCAGTATTCAAACGCATCAAGGTGATAATCACAAGGGAAAAGCGAACTCGAGACTACTTACTAGAAGAAACCTTGTCTTTCAACGATGAGGATGCAGAAGGATTGGCCAACCTCACAATGACGCACTGGTAATATCTATCCTTGTGAATAAAATTCAAGTTAAATGTGCATTGATTGATCCAGATAGCTCGGCCAATATTATTCGATCAAGGGTCATAGAACAACTCGTCCTGCAAGATCCAATTGTGCCCACAACTCGAGTACTTAACGACTTCAACATGGCGAGTGAAACCACCAAAGGGGAAATTACTTTACCAATGAATGTGGCCGGAGCCATCCAAGAAACAAAGTTCCATGTAATCGAGGGTGACTTGAGATACAACACTCTGCTCGGAAGGCCTTGGATTAATAATATGAGAGCAATACCCTCGACGCTTCATCAAGTCTTGAAATTCCCAACATTAGAGGGAATCAAAATGGTATACGGTGAATAACCCGCCACCAAAGAAATGTTTGCAATCGTTGAGGTAATACAACTATCGACACTTTTACTAGCAAAGGGATTGGAGTCGAAGAGAAAGCATGAAGTCAAATAGCAACAACAGTCACCGGCCTCGGCCCGATCGGAGGAGCAGGAAACTTTTGAGGATGATGATTATATGATACCTCGAACCTATGTAATCCCCGATGATTCCGATGCAACAAAGTCAACGATCGAAGAGCTGGAACAAATCATATTGATCGAGCATTTGCCCGATCGAAAGGTGTACCTGGGGGGAGGGGGGGGGGTTAACTCCCGAGCTCAGGAAAAAACTCATTCAATTCCTTTTAAATAACATGGATTGTTTTTCTTGGTCCCACCTAAATATGACAGCGATCCCACTGGAGATCACTACACATCGACTAAGTTTGGACCCGAAGTTCCGCCCAGTGAAACAAAAGATAAGACCTCAGTCCGAGGTAAAACATGCATTCATTAAGGACGAGGTAACAAAAATTCTCAATATAGGATGCATTCGGGAGGTAAAATATCCAGGACTGTTAGCAAACGTCGTTATAGTCCCTAAAATGGGGAACAAACTTAGAATGTGCGTAGACTATAAGGATTTAAACAAGGCATGCCCTAAATATTCCTTTCCTTTGCCGAATATCGATCGCATGATTGATGCCACGTCCGTCCACGAGATCCTTATCTTTCCTCGATTCCTACTCCGGGTACAATCAAATACAAATGAACCCGGAGGATCAGGAAAGGACTTCATTCATCACTAAGTACGGTACCTATTGCTATAATGTAATGCCTTTTGGGCTAAAAAATGCTGGTGCTACTTATCAACGCCTAGTAAACCGAATGTTCGAAGAACAAATAGGTAAATCAATGGAGGTTTATATTGATGACATGCTAGTTAAGTCTCGACGAGTAGAGGCCCATTTAAAACATTTGCAGGAGGCTTTGGACATACTGAGAAGGTACAACATGAAGCTCAACCCAGAAAAATGTACATTCAGGGTCGGTTCGGGTAAGTTCCTCGACTTTATGGTATCAAATCGGGGGATTGAAATCAACCCCGATATAATCAAGGAAATCGAGAGTTGTTGATAATGTCAAGAAGGTACAAAGGTTAACAGGACACATAGCCGCCCTGGGTCGATTTATTCCAAGGTCTTCAGATAGGAGCCACCGGTT